ATATATGGCTGTAAAAGTTTTACATTAAACTTACGAAAACTTTCCAATTGTTACATTAGTTTCGATATTTGCAAATGTGTAATTATACTTAATATTCGTTAATAGTATATTTAATACAATAGTTTTTTGTAATTTGGGAAATACATGAAAAGTTATACATATTTTTTGATACATATATGTACCCATATATGTGTGAACTATTTCTGGTTATTGGTAATATTATAAATAACAGACTAACTATGGTGTGTGCCTGTTGAGACAGGCCCTCCATCTAGGAATTCTGAGTCTCCGCTGATTCCTGGTCTTATGGATGCCTCCCGTCCGCCTAGCGATCTCTTACAAGGTTGGCGCATATTTGTGGAAATGTCCTTTTTGTTTTTTTCCATGAAATTCCTTTAACTGAATTTGTTTGTCCTAATTTTTTTAATTTTTTTTTTCTGAATGTCATTGTTCATCTAGTTAATGAGATTTTACATGTCTGTCTACAAATGTTTTACTGTCTCATAAATATATGTGCACACAAATATATATTTTAAATCTAAAGTATGTGCATGATTTGTTTTGTTTTCAAATATCAAAATGTATATATTTTATAGGACATCGAATATCAATACCATCAATACTACATGTGGAATTTCTGATTTTTCACAATTAATTAAAACAATACATTATGACATTACATGGTAAACGAATCTGTTTTTAATAAAATACGATGTATTTATAATATTCTTACTTACTGCATTCATGGTTGCATGCAATATTTTATGCCTTATATAGTTGTTTTACATACATATATATATTTCAACGCAACGTTCTTAGAGCCATTTTTATTACATATTATTACTAAATAAAGTCCTAATAGTACACATTGTTGATTAAAATACAACATACTTTACAATGTGGAAACGTTATTTTAGTAGAAATTTTAATATAATAATTATATAATTGCACGATAGAACGATAATAAAATATTCATAATTGATATGTATTGTTACATTTATTTAAACGTATTTGTATTATTAGCAAAGTAGGATGAAGTTTAATTTTAATGTTTAACACCATTTTCAATTTACGCGAATGTATGTTCATAAATATATGCATTGGATGATTTCAGTTTTTAATAGCATGATTTAACAATATTTGTTTTTCAATTTATGTATACAATATGACAGCACTTTCGCGTTATTACTAATCTAGATATTGCAATGTATCTTTAAGGTGGAAGTCGTGGTTCAACCCCTGAGCAAGATAGAGAAGGACGTCTTGGCACCTCTCCTCACATTAATAGGTTCCTAGCAAGAGAACCACCTGATGGCTGTGAGAAAGTCAATCTGAAATTTGTAGAGGATGCCAGGTAATTCCTCATGCATGTTTACTTAAAATGAAACCACTTTGTAGGAAACTCAGACTGTATTGTACAGTAACGTACCGTCCATTTCATCCCATTCTTAAAGAATAATCTTTCAGAAATTAGATTGAAGATATAATCCGTGTAGAGTTTAACCAAGGGAAGATTACCTAAATTTCTCGAAATAAAATAATGTTCCTCATATGCTTGGATATGTTTAAAATTTTGAAATGTATACTTCAGTATCACTGAAGCAATTATATTTCTATGTATAGGCGACCCATGATAGACTTGAGCAAACTAGACTATTGCCCAAAGCCGTGTGTAGCATTCCAGTTAAAACCTAGCTTGGGATCAGCGTTCCTGCCATTACAACAGCCAGCCAGTCCAACGATGGTTGCAAGTGCATCACCCTCTTCGCATACAACACCAACTACACCCCCTCCAAATCCATAGTCCTGCTCTTTACCTTATGAAATAATGTTTATAAACCCAATTGGTACATATATTTTTTTTTAACGACCTCATGGGTAGAAAGTGGTTTACTTTGATATGAAAGCATATACCAACAAAGAAAAAGTTACCGAAAAGCAGCCTGTTTCCAGTGCGATCCAACATTCGGGTATCGTGATTGTGTAATTAAAGCAGTTATAATTGCATTGATACAAAATATTAAAAAAGCATTTGAGCTCCGTTAATGTTTGAAACAATAATAAATACGAGGAACAATAATTTGTGATAACTAAAAAACGACATTTACGAATGAACATTGTGTTCTACAGGGAAAAAGACTAATAAAATTGTGTATTCTAAATTTAGTGCTAAAATGTGCTAAATGACTTTAGTTTTGTATACAGGGATAAATATTCAAAATGTCGAAAAGTATTAAATTTGATTGTTGGGAAAAGCAAAATTATACTGATACAAAATGGGTACACGTGCCTGGATATGTACATTGGTACCCTCTATAATGTTTTCATTAGATCTTTATCAATTTAAATAATTCGATTGGATAGTGAAACAAAGCAGAACAAAACACTTGTTAGAATTTTGTATCGTTTTGTATTATTACTTGTATGCTGAAAATATTCAAATTATTATATGAGGAGCACGAAAATAGTGTATCCCTATGGTACATTATTTTTTAGAATTATATCCTCTAGATTTATACACTTACATTCTTTACTTTTCTTTTTTAGTGTCGCGTATGTAAGATAAAGGCATAAATTAATTGTCACGATAGTTTATTTTGTATTACGTGTACAAATGTGCACTTTTGCATAGTTTTCTTTTTATATTAATTTCTTAGGCAATAAGTTTGTACTTTGAACGTAAAGTAAGCACTTTGTTCTACTATAGTGTTCAGTGTCATAAAGCAACTTATGGAACTTAAGTTAATTACAAGAGTATATTTTATTGTTTAATAACTATATTACCATAGGGTTACAAAATTTTTGGTTTAACTTGTATTATGTTAGTTTACTATCTGAATATGTACAACCAATACAGCATGTAACGACAGGTTGATGAATGTATGATAGAATGAACATAACGATACAAGGTCGAAATGTAATGAGTAAAAATATGAAGAATGGTAAAATTAAACATTGATTCCAGTAACAAGTGACGACATATGTGCTTTAAGCCAGTGCGGTATCAGATGTGCATACAAACGGCTCCCTAACTTGGCACAGTATTGGTGTGACTGTAGGCTTTTGTATAAACGCGGATCGTAATAAAAAAAAAGAAAATTATAATCTGCGTTCTATACAAATGACAGTGTGCATGTGTTGTAATGTCAGAATCCTGATTAAACCATCCACGAATAACATTAAAGTTCGTTGCATTATCGAAATAAAAGATTTTGCACGAGTGCAATTAATTGGAATGCTTTGAAACTCATTCAGTGCTTCAAATTTACGTTAGCATTGTAAAATACTTGGAGTATGTGGTCTGCAGGGAATATTATTACATTAAACTTCATAGCTAGCAGTTACGTTGATTTCTTTGAATTTTCTTATGGTAAGAATAATCAAAGGAATACCAAATATTGTAAAAAAATATTTTGATATAAACTGTCTACACTATGTAAAAAGATCAGTAGTTATTCGTGCGATGGGTTAACTTATTATTTAGTATAATGCAGACATAGCCACTCAAGAAGTTCAATTTATTTTTTGCTTTCTAATACAGAACGTTTTGCAAACGATTTTATAGTTATGGTCTGAGGAATAAAAGGATCTTAATAAAGTATAAGATCGAGAGCAGGGAAGAACAGTTTTTTAAATACAATAGTAATATACTTTCTAATATTATAATGTATCTAGCTACAACAGTGAAAAATGTTAACACATAAAGTACCTGGCACACTGGTCTATGCTCTCTTTTATCCAGCTCACTAGGAAGTTCATGCCTTAGAATGCGTGGCAAAGTGTGCTAAATAGACAGGAAGGTTAATCAGAGAGTCAGGATATATACAAAATGCACTGGCTAGTTAACGAGTATACAATACAAACCTAATCTGCTATCTACTAGCTTAAGAAGATTTTCTTTTATTTATTTTCGCTATGGACCTAAATGACATTATCCCATCGCTGTAAGGATATGTGAATGCGAACATCGAGTTTGCAAACGCTCCAAAATGAAAAAAAAAAGAACTTATCGAACGCATATTTCATCTGTTGGCATATTTTCACTTAACAGAGGAAAAAGAAAGATGTTTTAACATAACACATTGTATTAATCATAGTGAATAAAACGTTTCATACTTTTACTAATAAGCAGAGGAGGAAATTACTTTAGAAAAAGGCTAGCCTTATTATTTTTTACTACACTCATAAGGCTCCACTTTTTAACCTTCGTGTACTTGCATAATGTGTTATCATTATTGTTAGCTTTTGTTGTCAATTTCATGAACATAGGAATGTGTGTAAAGACTGCTACACTAAAGATTACCTGTTATTTGGATATACCTAAATTTAAAGCGAAATAAAATTAGGCTCAAATTTCTCCGGTTACCTATGATGCAATATAGGGATTATAATTCGTTACTAAACGATCCTTACGTGACTACTGTTCGGTACATTCTTTCTACATATCTAAATCTGAGCAGGCTTCAGAATGGCAAAATGATTATGTCAATTACGAATTCATTTATCCCTAGGACTGTCCAGACGTATCGTTGTAGAGTTTTCGCATAACAAAAAAAAAAAAAAAACCAACAAAACGAAGATTGTTGACTGTACATTGTAATTTGTAAGATGCTCAGAATTATGAAAACTTTTTTAATGAATAAAGCTTGTATGTTGCAAAGGAATATCTTAACAAATTTTATATATTTGGTGAAGATAAACGCAGCTTTTATTCACTGTTTTATAATAAATACATGAAATATTATTTATTGTACTTTATTCTAGGCGCAGGGATACAAAATTTTGTTTATAATATGTCATGTTGTCGCGTGTTCATATCAATTTAACTATAATGAATTCTATATTATAAAAATATATTTTATTTATTTTGTATAATTAACTTTCTGGTGATTGTAAATTAATATCTTTGGTTGATGAATTTTTCTATTTATTAATATATGAAGAGTATCTTACAATGTAAACTTACGAACACAGTACTAAACACATTCGCAACGGTACATCGAAAATCAATAACTTTAATTAAATAATACATAAGAATCTATCGAATCTCGAATCTGTCCTAGGGCTAAATCAAAATTAGTCAGCGAAGAGAGCTAGTGAATGTAAATAATAATTTAAAGCCGTTTAACGATGAAATCTTTGTACGGAACGTAGTGACTAAGGCCAACGAATTCTGTAATTTTCGTGCGTCTCGCGAAAAAGTTCGTTGAACGAAAAATACTTGTGGATCAATGCGAACTTTTAAAATATGTATAAACAAAAATATTACCACAATACTGGCCTGTCCATAGTCAACTGAGATTAGACTCCTTCTCCGAACGGCACAATGCAATTATCAAAATCATAGTAATCGTTAACTTTTTTTATAAATATATATGTATGTATATATATATTTTTTGTTCGAAATTTTTAACATCAAAATCTTCGAATTTTGTTATGTTTCCGATCGAAATTTTATAATTATCGAGATTGTATTTTCTTTTTTTTAAATGAAGGCATTTTTACTTTTTTTTAATCATTATTCTTACTCGATGGAATTATATATTTTTTTTATTTGAACAATAATAAATAATTCATTTAAACGATAATCACATGCATTTCTGTGAATCGTAAATCAAGGTATCGATACATTTTCACGAACACACCCATTTAATATCTTTTTTTTTCTATTTTTTTTTCTTTTTTTTTTAATTAGCACTGCGCGTATCAGTATTGTAAAGTATCTTAATTTCACATGATCCAGATTCATTTTCTTCAATCTGATGATTTCTCATGAAAACGCTACATATGTATAGATAAACTCATATTTTCTGCGGAATAAAATACTCTTTAAGTGATAAGTTTACGCATTGTATTTTTCGTGCATTATCGAATTTAAAAATATAAAGGCAAATTAAAATATAAGATTTAGTATGTAAAAGAATATTATTGCCTTATTTTTGAGTATTTCATCATTATTATTCATTATTTATATTTGATATTCAAAGTTTTAATGATTCATATGTTTAGAGATATTTTTTAATTACTTTTTTTTCACAATCTTCGTTACTTTTTTTACGTTTTTGTTAATGATTCGTATTAATCTCTTCTAGTATCCATTGAATCTTAAGTATCGATTCTCCATATCGTTATCGAAACATTAAATAACATATTTAACGGTTTATTCGATTATTTCTCTCTCTCTCTCTCTCTCTCTCTCTCTCTCTCTCTCTCTCTCTCTCTCTCTCTCTCTTGCAAGACAAAATATTAGATTGTATGATACTGTCTTGAAAATGAATGTGTCTGATTTATAAACAATTTTACAAGTAATGTAAACGTGTATCGTTACGTTACGAAACTTACTATGATTATGATGCTATGATTGCGACGCGCTATAACATAGATTCCATAGATTCGTTTAAAGCGTATATAATTACAACTAATACATCGACTACCACACAATCTTACTTGTTCGATACATCAGTATCGAATTAAATGTAAGCGTCCTCAACCCCGAAAGCGACAAATATCGTTGCATCGATATTTGTCATTTATTTTGCTGCTTTCTTGGGCAACAAAAGAAAATGTTCGTATCGCGCTGTCGTTGAACACACTATGATAACAATAATGTACCGTTGGTTCCTTTGTAACAAACAAAAAATGCATTACGGTTCCACAAACTCGGTAGTCATTGTATTAATGATAATTATATTAACGTCTTGATAAACTTTGCTATTACAAGAAACTTTTATATCTCAATATGGAAAGGTAAAACGCAGTCTTGTATCGCTCAGTACAAATATCGATTCGAATTACGATTGAAATTCCTTGTTGAAATGAATATATTTATTGTTTAACAAGCGTCACGCTTGAGGAACAATGAGTTTTACGTGAGAAATTTGTTCTTCGACAATTGGTTCTTTGAGAATTCTCTAACCTTACCTCTCCATAGTGAGACTCCTATGCAAACTTGTTAAACCTGTGAATCTTATATGCGATTAGTTGTATTATTTACCAGCATAATACTGTATGTACTTGTTCCAATAACAATATGCACTTTTATTTTTATCATAAAGTATAAATGGAAAAGTGTACCTTTTTATATTACTGTTAAGGCGCCTTACATGAATAAAATTTTTAGAAAACGAGATTCAAGTCAATATTGTACAATTCAATAAGAACGGTGTACGATACTTTTTCTTTATAATTCTTTGCGTTGTCTATAGTTTTTTAATATACCTTTGTTGGTACATACGTTAATCAATCACCTCTCATATGCATTTCAATTCATATTTTTTATTTGATAAACTACATTAAAAAAATATTTTTTAATATGTTTATTATAAAGTATATGGCATATAACAAATTTATATAGTGTATAAGAAATATATTTTTTTATCTGATTGAAAGATTGGAGATAGGATTAGTATTTCTCTTTGAGCATGAATTAGACTTTTAAATAATACTACATATAGACATTTGTAAAAAAAAATAATACATACTTTTGTAAAAAAGATTAACTTTTAATTATTTTGACTACATATTAATTTTATACATATTATCGTATATAAACAGCATATGTGTGAATGTATGTTAATTGTGTTTGTATACATACAGGCATATGCTCATCTCTTTAATTGTCAACAATATATATATATACACAATATATATATAGAGCAACATAAGTATTTTATACATTAAAATAAAAAGGCTTCGTGTATGTACAAATTGTCTATAAAAACGTTAATAATTATAAACCCATGTATTGAGGGGAAGAAGAAAATGTGTTTCTTGTAGAGTTATTTTTCCTCGAATCCTCAGTATTAGGGTTATCACTAAAACAGGTAATGCTTGTTTTAATGTGGACATGTTTCTATGCAAAACTTTATATAAGATTTTAACAAAGTTTACTGTATCTAGTAATTTGGAATGTATAAATGAATTACCCAAAGAAAGGCATTAAGGATATAAGCGTCTGTCTACTTGGTCTGGACACAAACGCGGGTGAACATTGTGCTAATCTCCCAACAATCCGTCTTAACCATTGCTGCAATTTTTGTCGTCTTTCTTCTACAAATTTAGCATCCTAAAAATACGGTATATGAAGTGAAAGTGATGTGTCGTATTATTTTGACAGCTTCTATAATATCCATGTTAATATATATACCTTATTTCCTATTGTCTTCTTTGGTGGAAATTCGAAAGTAGTAACAATAGTATCATGTTTTTTCAATTCTCTATAAAGTGCATGAAACTGCGCATATCGTCTATATATATTCCATTCGGTATCTCTAATGCGTACATATATCTGTATCAAGTAATACAGTATAAATATAATTTTATGCGTACGTTTAAATCATTGTAATATGTTTATATTTTATGTGTATGTGAAATTTAGATTACCTGATAAACGTGGTGAATATCAGAAGGTTGGCCTGTAAGAAATGCAGATGGAATCCATATATGAATGAGACATGGAGGTTCTGATGGTAGGTCATCTTCATTCAAGGGGCCACGAAGGCACTCTAATTCAGCTTGTAGTAATTTAACTAATCTATCCCTACATAATTTTTTCCGAATGTTAATATAAAGTACATATGTTAGTAATTAAATATATAGTAATCATACCTATTAGTCAATTGAAGAGTTAGTCTAGCGTTAAATTCCATTAATTCCGCGTGCATGTCTGCGACCTGAATTAATTTTTCCTCGTACTGTTGAGCTTCGTTATGATAATCTAACGATGGATCCTCTTCGGAGACTGTAGTGGAATCGGAATCTCTTCTTAACATTTGTACTGCCGTTACATACTTACGTAATTGTTGTCTTAATAGCTCATTTTCCCTATCGAATCACATTGGAATTATATTAAATAACGACAAACTTCTACACTTTTTACAACAAGATATTTAATTATGGTTATTTTTACCTATTTAATGTTTGCAACTGTAACTCGTGTCTTTCGAGATAATTTTGGTGTTGTCTTTGTAAACGAGCAATTTGCAATCTACTAGTCACGGCGTCCTCTTTAGCTTGTTCTAGTACTTCGGTAGTTGCTAAAAGTTTTATTCGTAACGCCTCTATGTCTAGACTATCTGCATCTAGATGAGCATCTAACCCTGCAAGTGGTTCGGTAGCTTCCACTGCAGCTTCTGCGACCTCGGATGAATCCTACGGAAAATCATTTTTACATTCTTACAAAAAATCAGCGTAACAAAATTTTGTTATATTGATTTTTAAAATAATAAAATAACTTTTTTTGTTACTTATAGAATTTAATACTGAAGAGGACTTATATATTAAGTTTTAAACGTTATAATTTTATTAAATGAATACTTAATCGGCTATCATATATAAATTTTTATTTATGGACAAACATTGTTTATCAAACATTTATTACGAATTCTACTATCTCTATACATACATCTAAGTAGTTCGGTAAAGCTATCAACATGTCATCTAACGTTTGATCTAAAGGTGATACAGGAACAAGTCCACCCATATTCTCTGAATCTGTAATTGGGGTTAATACTTTCTCTTCTTCGAATGATTCACTGAAAAGTTTGCAAGTATTAACTTAATAAACATATAATTAATTATAATAAAAGTAACATTATCAATTATACCTACCGTTTCTCCCACTCGGAAGACGGTTTGTCGGCCGCTACATTATCATTTGTTTCTCTTTGAGATTGCGACACTGATAAAGTAAGCGACGTAGAACTTTTTGTTGATATTATTGTGGGGGAATTGAGACAGGTTGGAGGTGCGCTAACGGAAACGGTAGTTTCTGTAGTCTCCGACGTATCGTCTTCGTTATCGAAGGAAATTATATGCGTCGGTACTTTTTTTCTTTGTTTCTGTTGTTTTAAAGTAGGCCCTAATTCAAATATCGCCATTGTTAATACTGATATTGCAAATTTGATTAATTTCTGGATAATAATCATTATAAAAATTGTAATGATTAACTACCTGGTACCGCAGACGATATAATTGGCTCTGATAGTGAAACCTTTTGTTTCTCCATATCTTTATCCCTTAAATTGTTATCCAATTCTTCGTTATCTACACTAATTGCAAACAAAATGCTACCAAGACCTAATAATTGAAATTATATATAATAGATTTTAATAGACAAAATAGCCAAGTATAAAACTATATTGTTTTTATACCTGCAGCCACATTTGGCAGTACTGCGCTACGTTCTTGGTCAAGTAAAAATGCCCAATCTTCGTAGTATGGAGACAATACAGTAGGGTCGATAATAGTATGTAAATGGCGTTCCAGAGAACGCTCATTTAATACTGCTCTGAGCCATGCTCTACCACGACCATAATCCGTATGAACTCTCTTCAATATACTAAAACGTTCTTGTTCATGCCACGTTAATTGCTCTTTTATGCACGGCCAAAATGCCATATCTGATATGCTGCATGATTTTGTATTACTACCGGATACTATGTCGGACACATGCCTGTAATGGTACAGATAATACATATCAACACAATGAAATGTGTAGTCATAAATGAATTAGTCATCTCATAGTGGTATCTTTTTAAACACTTGTCTGTATGTTGATATCCTACAAGTGATAACCATTCAAAATATAAAAAGCATTGCAATATTTTTTTGTGAAATGTCATTAGAAGAATTGTAAGTAATTATGTACATAAGTGTTGACCTTGCTGATTACAAAGGTTTTAAAGTATGTTGAATGATATATGTCACTGATTAGTAGTAAATACATGTATTGCTCATTGTTAGTTTTCAATAATTATTAATTAATGAATTTTCTAGTAAACTATTTGTTTCAAATTGTCATGCAAATTCACTTGTTTTTTACTACAAGGCAGATAAAATTAGCAAGGCCAGCAGAATTTATGCAAAAATTCTTCTTGATTACCTTAAAGCTGAGTTAATTTTCCCAATGCAATTTGTACGTAATCCGTGACTAAAAATTGATTCGAATACATGACAGAGATGTGAAACAGATAAATCTAATTCAGTTGCTAATTCAGTACGTCCACCAAATCTAATGTGACACTTTTTTGCAGCAGCTAATAAATCTTCCAATAGTTTATGACGTTCTGCTGCATGATCATAAGTTTGATTAGCATCGATTACATTATGGGTGCCTGGCACAATTGCTGACATCATACGTAAAGCCTAAAACATATATGCAATTATTGTAAGTATTAAAATTTAGTTTATAACATAATTACATAATCGCAAATTTGTAGAATATTAGAAATGCTTTACATAGATTATGTAAACATGAGAAACAAAGAAAAAAATTTCACAATTTCAAATAAAACACGAAAAATGTTTACTCGACGTTCAACAATAAATTATGTTTTAAAAAAATGTATTAACGATCCAATTTTCACATACATACGTCCGATTTGTATTCGGAGTTTTTAAAAATCGTAATAATTTGTAATTCACGTTCGTACATACTTAATTTATGTTAATTTTATTTGTTTATTTACGTAAATGCGCGTGATTATCGTTGGATACAGAAAAGAAAAACGGAGCACAATAAATTAAATACTTTCTAATGCGTAATTTCTATGTCATCCGTTCCAGTACGTGAAACGAAGTTTACATCTATTTTCAGTTGGCACAGTACGTGATCGTCATTTATGTTAATTAATCAAAAGTGTCGCGTAATATGTTCCTCGTTAATTTGACAGGCCAATATTGACAACGAATGATCAAACGGTAATTTTGGCTTTACGTAAAAACTAAATACATACCATGGATATGAATCAGTGAAGATCACCGTCGATTTCCTTTCAAATTGCAGTCATCATTAAAAAAAGTTGTACAAAAGACGTGCATAAATATATAATCATTTCTCGGAATTGTTATATGTACAGAACTTGTCATCGAGAATAATGCATCGTAACTGTCTCATGACAATTGACAAAGAGATTCACTTATAACGACTAGTATACAAATTTACAGTGCAGTAACTTTCAGGGGCGGAAACTTTATCTCCTCATCCTTGATCATTCTCTTCCAGCACAGATCTGCACAGATGTATCTCGATGTATCCATGTATCATGCGAATCAGATATAAAACGGGCATAGAAAAACTAGCTCTGTTTGTTGAGCATTTTAGGTATAGTACGTTGGTATCGTACGTTTACGATGCAGTATATCAAAAATATTATGTCAGTCGCAGACTTAACATGTTTAGGAACGCGCGCATTGCAATTCCCATTGCAAAAGCTAGTCGTAAACGTATAGTTTGCGATATGAAGCTTCTGGTTTGTTTTTACCTAAATCCCTAGTAAAACATGTATGTATTCACTAGTAAGAGGAGGTAACCTGGCGCCACCAACGGAGAGTAGATGAACTACTAAATAGTTTTTCCAGTGTTTCAGGTACAATAATGAAAAAAAAAAAAAAACACGTAAGAATTATGCTTTTTGTAATCAGGAGAAGTATATCTATCTCTTCACCAAGCGTTTTTCAGAGAAAATTGAAACAAAAATTTAATATTTCTTTTAGGGCAAAGGATAATGGGTTCGGTATATATAAAAGTATAAGATTTAATTCAATGTTTTCTTTGTTATACAAGCTGAAAGATATAATTACATTTTTAAAGAAAATATAAATGATATATTTTTATCTGTATAGTATACTTTATGTTCTCAATTTTCATTTTTCGTATGGCAAAATTATATCTCTTGTGCTGTAACTGCCATTCTTATTTAAGTATTTTTCGCCATTGATCGCTGTATGTTGTAAATCGTAGAGAAGAAGCTGATGCATTGTTCTCAAATGAGCAATTGAAACATAATGCATTACAGTATGCAATGCTATACTGAGTTGGCCAAATCTGTATAAAAATAAAAAAAACAATGTAAAAGATTAGTATAGCAATGCGTTAAAAAAAAATAAAACAAAATAAAGAAATGTTATTTAATAGGTTTCCAATTCCGTTTTGGTAGATAAGAAAAATTGAATTTTTACCAGATTTTTCTTGTTTGGTCCCTTTATGTATTTTAGGAAACTCATCTTTTGTTTCTGCCAGGAGACAATTAGAAATGTATTGTGGAGTAGGAGATTGCATAGTTGGAACTGGTGTCTTTTCTGCATTATAGGACAGATCACTCTCCTTCTTATATATCGGGATGCAGAAGTAGCTAAAGTAAACAAACACATGTACTATGCCCGCACCTACAGCAATAAAATCATAGAAGTCTTGTGTATAGTATCGATAAATCCAGTTTAAAATATAAAATCCTTTATAAGTTGCCATAGCAAAAACATAATAATTCATGGTGCGTTTTTTTTCTCCTGCTTTTGCTACAAAAAATAATTGTGGCAACATTGCTACAGCTTCCAGATAAATGCTGAATGACCATAATACTTCCATAACTGTGAATTCATGGTTAATGAATATTGCCAATATCATTGCACCTAAAATTAGAAGTTCGATTCTGAAAGCAAAATGTAAAAAATTACACTAAATATAAATATACAAAATTATTTTATGAATATATTGCTGCATGTATATCAAATATACCTAAATGTATCCCGAGTATGTTCATATGTTGATTGTAATCGTACATATATCAAATACACTGTTACATATGAGATTGTAATGAAAATAATTTTAAGAGAAGAGTTATATACTGATATATAACTTGTTATCAGATCTACATAACGGACTGTGTAGATGATTGCAAACAAAAGTTGTGTTTTGCCGCTGATACCTGTAGAATATAATCAAAACATTCATAAAAATTACAGTATGGTTTAAAGATTTCTAAGTGTAGTCAATGTATTAACCATAGTAAATTTTAAATGTAACTAAAAAATGCATACCGCTACAGTTTCCTGTTTTCCATATTTTATAAAGAAGCCCGACAATTGCAAATAAATGCAAAAGATCACCCGTGAGACGAAATATATTCATTATACTTTCAGTTACCGAACTAAGTCACATCATATGAGATTTCTACGTGACGAAAATAATGCGCAACAAGTTTAATTTGACTGCGTTCACATCGAACGACAAATTAAGCTTACGAAAAGTATGAATAAGATTTGAAATGGACATGCAAGATGAAACGTACAATAATTAATTGCATCATATTACTCTTCCGCTACTAAGATAAAAATGAGATAAAGGCTATGTTTATACACAGGTTAGCAACAGTTCTCTGTGATTTATATACATCAGATGATTACGTGCTGGGAATTCCATTGGTTCCTTGTACGCATTCCTGAATTCCTGACCAAGGTTACAGGATTCATGCATAGAGAGGTTATGATTGACTCGTCTGTTCAAAGTATATTGTATGTATTACAGATTACTGTGAAATATTTTAATAGCATTGACATAATTAATTTGGGCATTGCAAATATAGTGACTGTAATAAGTATTCGTACAGAAATCATTTGTTTTAAATGGGTTGCTGTACGATTACTTCTTACACTGACTGTAGGTTATGTTACAAGGCTACTGGGTTACACGACTCATACTTAGAGAGGTTATGGTTGTTTCGTTCAAAATGTGTTATAAATTATTGTGAAACATTTTGATAGCATTAACACGATCAATTTGGGTATTGTAAATCCTCATAAAAAACTTCGAAAAAGTAAAAAAATTACGCCAAGTACATGAAAAAGTCGAGAACGAAAAGGAGTATTATCAAATAAAAAAGATGTGAAATCGAAATGAGCTACAAGTACATAAAGGTGCTTTCCAGTAAAGTGCAAAAGCGACACATTGCGTAACACAATGTAAAATTTGGTAAAACATGATCATACAATATATTAATGTGTCGATAATGTTATTCTAGATACGAGCTTTGTGAGCGCTCACAGAGCGAGTGAATGCTCACAAAGTGTCGGCTGCGCTCATAAAGCGCTTAGTAAGCGGCGGCCTTTTGAATCCACCCAATGAGAGGGCGTCTTCTACCCCTACTCAGCGCCGTTCACTTCGTTATCCCCACCCGAGCGGCTTAGAGCGAGAGCAGTAGTCAGTCGTCTCGTGGAAGTAAAAGTGACAAGATGTGTTAGCCGCTGCGTCATTAACTAGTCATTAAGGTACGGTTCCGGTTACCTGTTGATACCTAATCGATATTACTGCTATCCCGTGTTCTCTACTGCTGCTTCGCATAATATTATACTTTTTATCGTAAATTCAATCGAATTTGCAATTAAATCGGTGTCACGTTTTTGCTCGAAATTAAATTACAATTGCATGCAAGATACTTCGAGTATCGGTTGTTGCTTCATTATTACTGCTTTTAACTAATATTATACGCTTTAATATCGTGTACGGTATTATCGAACAAAACATGTTGTGTTAATATATGCGTATGAAAGTTAATCGCGAAATTGACGCGAATTTCGAATTCACGATTATTCAACCGTATCCGAATTGCGCATGGCGTGCGTCGTGTGTATCTGCGCGCCAAATTCAAACGTTTCTAAGAGGAATTATTTTTGTTGTGCAGTTAAAATACCATTGGAGAACAACTGAGAAAATTCTCAACCATTATCATTGACTTTCCCTACTCACTGCTTCTTCACTCGAGAGAGGTCATCGTACGTTCTATGGAATCAAAAGTAACAACAAGTGTCAAGCGGAGCGTCATTAACAAGGGTACGTGCTATTTATCTGTTGATATCCAGACTGTACTATAAATTCTATAACGAATTTTTAACGATTTTTATCGATTGGAAATAGGGTACGGAAGGGAATAAAGCCGCGTAATTTACAAAATCTCTTTTTTTATTGATGCTTCGACAACATGGGCTGAGACACACACATTTGCTCATATGAATTTATACCACTGCGTGCTCCAACATATACATACACAACTCGTTAAATTATTGCATCGCGCGGCGCTGGATTTAAGAAATAGACTAATTTAGAATCGTGTGTTTTTTTTAATGACAAACGTGTCCCTCGAGAGAGTCTCGTTACAAGTAAGCTCTTCGTGATTCCATAATTTCCATTTTGTTCGGTGAAACTGAACATTTCGATAAATTTATAACAAAACCGATAACAAGTATTTCATCGACGTCCGAACGTTTTGGTTTACATCCGAAACAAAATTTTAGAAAGAATCGGAGGCAGATTCAGTTCACAGACACATCTGAATTTGATTCTACCATTTGTTTGATTTATAAACGATCGTCCAAGCTTCACATCGAAACGGAGCTTTTTCCTGAAACATTTCCTCGTTTCGGTCAGGAAACGCAAACTGTACCAATAATGAAATCTTACAAATAGCGAAAGATATGTTCGGAGATAATAATAATAATAATAATAATAATAATAATAATAATAAAAAAAGTATTTCGGTGGGCACGATTCTAATAAAAGAATTTCCTGTGCACGGTCGCGTGATACCATCGGATCCGATAAGCTCCATCGCGCGATTAATCATCGAACGATCTACACGAATAATTGATTCATCCGAGGTTGGAGCGTTTGGGAACTGTTCGCATTCGCCTCGTTCATTGATGTGTGCTCGTACGGTTTTCTTTCTTCCCGTTTTCTTTTTGTTATGCAGCATCGAAATATGAAAAAAATCATGTTTCGACCACTCTATATGCATACATACATGCATACATACACTTACATATATGTATATACATATATATTCGAGGAGACTCACATGGGTCGCAAGAATAGGTTGACAGGATAGACTCTTCTAATAGACTTTGCAGACGGACATAATAGAAATATTTAATATATAGCATCATATATTAATATAATATTCAGTAATAATATAATATCTATTATATATTAATATGTATGATATTTTTTTTTTTCGTTTTCAATATAGCGTTCCCTTTTTTTCTCGCTCTTTTGTCCAAGGTTTCTTTAACATTCAGCGATTCAATTTTTTTTGTTCGTTTTTGGTTTGAAAATGGGGCAGTGGGGGGGGGGGGGGTGGTGGTGGTGGTGGTATGGACGTGTGCGCGAGTATACGATTCGCTTCACCCTTATTCGGATTCGCTGTAATCGTCGCGGGGTATTCAGGCATTTTGTACGACTCAAAGTCGATTCAGACTATACGACACGAACCGTCACGTTCCCGCAAACGACACGTACCGACACCGACACGACAAAACATTAAAACACGCGTTTTAATGGACTGTTCACACTATTCCCGTTGACGGAACGTTCAGGTCGGTGTCTGTTAAGTGTGAATAGTTCCATTAAAATGCGTGTTTTAATGCTTTGTCGTGTCGGTGCCGGTACGTGTCGTTGCCGGAACGTGACGGTCCGTGTCGTATAATCTGAATCGATCTTTATGCTGATCGACAACCGTTTTTGGTCGTTTTTGCAACGTATGCGTTGATCGCGAAAACAATTATCCGCTTTCCTTCAAACTGGTCGAGAGAAACGTGCCAAGCGAGGCAGACAGAGCGACGTTCGATACTCGATCATGCACTCGTTTACCCTCGGTTTACATATCCGTCCGAGTAACTTAAAAGGCAACGGCAGACGCGATTTTATTAGGGGTGTGGGGGATTCCCGAGTTGATTCGGGATTCCCGAGAATGTACGGGATCTCGAAAATGTTCGGGATATAGAATAATATCTGGGATTTCCGAAAGTGTTGTTATTCTTGAAAATTTCAGCAATCCGAATGCACGGGATTTCGAAATTCCCGGGAATCCCGAATACATCCGGGATTCTGAAATTCTCGGAATTCCATCCCGATCCCGGGAGGAATTCCCGTCCCGACCGGGACCCGCACAAGCCTAGATTTTATCGCTAAAACTAAACGATATCACGGTGAAACGCATTCGAATATTTTTCAAAATTAACATTTTTGAGATCGAATAAAACACACGAGTCAGTTGAAAATTTCCTGACGACGATTTAGAACGATGTATCGCTTAGGTAAATTTCTCTGTATTTATCGAAATCAATCGTCGACAATGTCGAGTCATCATTTGTTGCTACGCGTTAACAGCAGAAATCGTTGAGGAACCTTATATCCAGCGTGAACAGGTGATCGGGAGATGCAAACAATTGAGCACGACATCGAAACGGAAAGACAAAGTGCACATTTTATAAACGTCGGTTTATAACGTCGAAAAAGAACGTGCACGACAGCACTCTGTGCAAAACAAATGATCCTCACTGAAAGTTGCACGTATGCAAGCTCGAAAAGTCGCACGGAGGTTGGTATGTACACACGTTGCGAAAGAATTGTGCACAGTAACAGTACGAAACAGGGAGAGTGCCCACGAGACAGTCTAAAGTTATCTGCCTCGTATACATCCGTCTTTACATCGCTAGACTTCACGTTGAATCGTTTACATTATATATTGTACTTGCTACGTAACTACCATTCATCTTTGATATTTTCATTATATAATTTCAAGAAAATAACATTCGTACAAAATTGACTACAGCCGATTGCTTTTCTCATGATGTGTTCGGGTTCGATCGTCCGTTCAAATCATTCACGTACAACGGAGTAACTAAAGTTTTACATCTTAAACCCCTATTCGTTAATCCACATCTCTTCTTACGCTTCGTCTCGCCCTCCTTTACGATATGACGTGTATACGTATTGACCTGGCTCCGACTGATCCCGATCCGCTCCTTTTAATCCACCTGGCACAACCAAGCCTCGAATGGATTTATGTTCGTCCTGTGCGCCCTTATGATCACAGAGCTGGACGCATAACGCATACTAATAGTGTTTGTACAAAGAACGATACATCAGCGAGGGTTATTCAACAGATTTTGCCTTGGACGCGACGCAATTTGAAACTGTTTCAACGATGACAAGGCTCACGTCCAAGACAGGCCCTAAGGTCTGCTAAATGACCCTTGTAGATGACTTCGACTTTTCTGTTTTCGTGGGGGAGTTCTTTGAGAGATAAATATTCTAGTCAGACAGGGTGAGATGTAATTTCAGACAGACAGGCGCGTAACGGGAGTAGTTATTAATAATACAAAAAAAAGGAGAAATGTAATTGATGAAACGACGTAGGATGAAACGAGGAGCCGTTGAGAGTGACCAAGGTCTTCCTCGATCCCCTAAAAAGCCCCTATCTGATTTACTATAACAAATTCTGAATTACGAATTCCTTGGTCGTCTATGCGTTATCGTGGCTCGAGTTGTGCCGGGTGCTTTAACGCGTGCCGGATCCGTTCGTTCAGGACCGCTTGAAAAAGCCCTACCATGTTAAGAAAATATGCAGGGATATCTCCGTAATTAAGTAGCTAGTTTTTTTTTCTTTTTTTTTTTATACAGATATTCAACCATTACGAACGTGCGGCTCGTGCTTCATAAGCGGAAACGTTTTCGAGGAGCGTGCACGCTGCCCGATTTTGCAGGAAGTACTTACGGTTACAAAGCATTAGTGGTGATTTCGTAAGCACGGGAACGCGCGCGCGCGCCGAGTCCTCTTCCAAACTCCGTGTATTTCGTCGATTCGGACGCAAAAGCAACGAGAATTTATAAAAATCCGTACATAGAGAATGTTTTTATCTTGCCATCGGTAGCCACGATCCTCTCCGTTACCTTTCATCCTTTTCATTAAATTACATTAAACGGTTTGTTCGATCGGACAATTAAATTTGAAATATTTCATTCTAAGATACGAATTTTAATCATTGTTAAAGGATCGATTAACTAAATTTCTGCGTAGGTGAGAGTTATGCCCATCGATGGGGCGACACGGTTCGCTCGAGGCGCCAAATGCGCAGGAAACGGACGCACATGCGCGCTAACAACGGAGAACACGCGCTCGAGGACTCGCTACGCTGTGGACTTCCCCTCGTGCGCGACGATAGCCGAGGACTCAGAGATGGGTGAGATTCTGAACGCTATAAATAATTCCTAATCGCCAATTTCTAATTGCTATCAATATTTAAAAGGATGCACGAAAGATTTAGAATTTTCTGATGCCTCCTGACCGTATTAAATTATACCACGTTAAAAGAATATAGGCATATCTGAATATATTTATTTTATTGTGCCTTTATTCATCTATCATTCGAATAAAATTTTGCCCATCTATGGTGCCCTTTTATTGAAAAGATGGATGATCCTTTTCATCAACCAGAGCGTTATAATTTCTCGTGTAGTCGATGGAAAGTCGATAGCATCAGCGAGTTAATACCCGTCGAGCAAAAAGATACTTTCTCCACGTACAGTGGCTTGATCGCGGGGGGGATTCCAACTACTTTCGCATCGGTGACGATGTCAATTGCTTTTGGTCCTTCTTGTACCTTTCGTAATTGATTTAATTTCTCCGCTCGATTCTACTCGATCCTCTTTATCCGAGGGTTCGGAGGCTCCTGCGCTCGGAACGTGCTAAATGAAACGGTGCTAGAGAGACGTGCAGCCGTATGTACAACACACGTATCGTGAAAATAAAGTGAACCCTTGGACCAGTGTTTCTTCAACTACCTAGCGAGGACCTGATCAAATTATTTTATTAACGCACAATTGAAAAATATTTCTGAGAATATGTAATATATAAGAATATTTCGAATTCTTGTTACGGAATTACACAATTTGTTTTGCTTGGCTTTTGAACGATAACAAAAATTTATCTTCTGTTACCTTTGATCCTTTAGAGGTCCTTGGACCAGAGTTTGAGAAACACCACCTTCGACTGTACGCGATCTAGCGGTGCCATCGAGTGCTTTAGACACATTTAATCCTTTCGATACAGAATTTTTGTTTACGTTGTCACGTAATATACATTACAAACGAAGTGTTACAACGTAATTCGTTTTAGAATAATCAGATTTCATTGTTTAGTATTATAGTTCTGTTGAAAATTTCGAAACAAGTGTTCATGTTTAGACTCCCATCACAGATTTTTCGAACAGTAACGAATTCGTCCTTGTACGTGATCGAAAGGGTTAGATGGCTCCATTGAATTTGCTTTTCGCTGAGGTTGAATCCCGATGCAATCGAAGGCTTCTCGTCCACTCGAAGGGCGTAATAAAAATTGACGCGGAGGGGTTGTGTGCACTTTTCTACTTTAATCTTATTAGGCCGAGGACGGTCCTCGAGACTCGCCCCGTCGAGTTCTTAATCCGGCCAGAGACGGTCGTGACTGACTAGAGAGAACCGTTCCACGCGTGACAACTTCCGTCCAGCCCGTAGGAACTCGGAACAGAATTCAAAGAACCGCTCGGGGCTCGCAAAACAATCGTTTGAATTCGTCGCGACACGAAGTAACGCAAAACTCGAGGGGGTGGGCGGATGATAAGCGGAACAGAACCTTCCTTCTTCTCGTTTTCATTTTCCTTCGCTGTGAGAACTTGGTGTTTCGATGTGGTCGATCCTTCGATCGCGAAGGTCGCGGACAGGAAGTTGTCGCAGAACGGAAATACGTCGCGATGCGACCGACAGAGATCTCCGAAAACACCGCCGTTTTACCTTTCGTTAATATTTACAAGTTGACCGCTAATCCAACGAGACATCCTCGTTTCGTCCCTCCGTTAACCATTTTTTCTGTCTTCGTATCGTTACTTTTTTTTTCTCTTTTTTTTTCCATTTTTCCTTTTTAATTTATCCCCTTCTCGGAGAGGGTTTCGTCGTTGGATGAGTCTGTACAAAAAGTGATGAACCGTGTGTGTTTGTGATCGGGGTGTACAAATCGCACGCCGATGTGACGAAGCGTTCAAGGCGTTTTATTTATTTATTTATTTTTTTCTCTCTCTCGAGGTTCCACTTTGAACGCTGCATCGTCGTTGTCCTGGCCACGCCAGCGATTCATCGTGATGTATATTTTCATATCCTAGCGTTGGTCCAGCGTGTGCGCGCGTGGACCCAACCACCTAATCTCGGACGGCACGGATGTCTTTCAGGGGATGCACGAGTGAGTGTTTGTCGCCTGTGCAGGTGATAGCAGCGCGACGGAGAAGTCAGAGTCCAGAACTAAGTCGCTGATGCAACCGACGATCCCCTTCACGTATTTGCCCCCTGTTGTCCTCACGATGTCTGGCGCACCACCTATGGGAATATCCAAGGTATGTACGGGAGATTGAAAGAATGTTCCAAAGGGGGGTCTGGACTGCACGCGGAGGAGGTTTACGTAATGCAGTTTCCTTCCTTCTCTTGAAAAATCATTTGTATATCAAACTCTCGATCTTCAGAGAATACTCAAAAAATGATTCGAACTCTTCCACTACTCATCTCTTATATGTATATCAAACTCTCAATCTCTATATAATTCAGTACTAAAACAATCATTGAAACTCCTCTACTATTCGTCCTCTCAATCCTCTCCAAACTCTCAACTTCCATATAACACACTACACAAAAAATCCTTAAACTCCTCTACCACTCACAGTGTTGCAACGTATACGTTGTACACAGACTTTCCCCAACAGCTTCTCCATTGAACTAATGCACTAATGGGAGTGCACGAGGTGATGCAATCGCGTTAAAGTGTCACACTCACCAACGTAAAGGCCCGTGTCGGTGTTGAGCTGTCTCAGCTGTCCTGGCGACGACGCCGAGACTCCCGTGCCGCTGTCGACCACCAACGACGCCCACTGTTCGTTCCTAAAGACACATCGGTCAACTTCAGGACATCGGGACGCGATTAAAAACCGTTGATCGAATTTAAACTTGCCGATGCAACGGTTACGAGCTCGCGGGCGAGTTTCTAACGCGGTTACCTAACTGCCCGAACGCGGTGCCATAGATCATCGTCCAGTCTCGTTAAATTGTACCGCAGAACGGCCTCGCCGGAGCCCAGGTTATAAGCTAGAGTCAGGTAACCGCGATCCAAGCCCAGGGCAAGAAAGTCGTCGTTCTTGTCCCTTTGTTCCTGCGGATCCGCTTGTCGGCCGCTCCAAAGCAGCAGACCGTTACTGCTGCTCGCCCGGAATCTCATATTGATGTCCACTCTGTAGCTTATTATCCTGCGGGAGGAAGATTGGATTTGGCGAAAATGGACAGAAGGTATTTTATTAAGAAAAGAAGAGGTGTAGTGGTGATTTTTATTGGTTTCGAGGCGGTATTATAATCTGGAGTGTTACTTTTCAATATTTTGGGGATCTTTTGGATTTTTGTTTCCTTTAGATTCGTAAGGTTTTTTTTTATTTATAGTATAGCACACTCATTTACTATACACTCATTTTTCAAGACTATACGTAATTTTCATTTCTTTTAAGGGGGTCAATAATCACTTCAATCCGAGGTTAATAATATATGTAAAATAATATTGTACGTGTCATACATATATTAAAAAAAAAATGCTGAACTCTTTCGTGGTTACCTCTTCATCGTGTCAGCGTCGTTGTAGTGTAGGTAGCTCTCGCTTCCGGAGAAGCTCGGCACGGATCTCTCGTATCGCGTCCCCACAATTGATTTCACTGGTGAGGCACCGAGGATCGTGTTGTCGTCCGGTGCTGGACACGGATGAGGCATGCCGGGTCTGCACCGACACGTGAATCTGTCTCGTAGCGGACGACATTCCGCGTCTCCGCAGGGCCTTGCCTCGCACGCGTGTCCGCAATTCCCTACGTTCACTCCGCCCAGAGCCTCGGCGAGAATTCCGATCTGCATGCAGAAAACCAACGCGTTTGACAATCTGCTCGAACAAAATGAGAATTGCATCTCGATGTGCGTGGAATTGATAAAATCGTGGAAACTGACGGGGAAATCTAGGCTGAGAAAATTCACTGCTCAAGGTCGTGTGCTCCCTCCACTAGGAATTAAGGGAAATTTTTAATCTGTGGTTGGATTTGTGTAGTTTATGGTTTCGAGTGGTTTCTCTCGTAGCGATACCCAAGTAAAAAGTCGAATTGACTCCAACAACATTTTTATGTCATACTAGGTTAAACCTATATTTGAATCCTTTAGTTTTAAGTCAACCGAGAACCAACGTACGGAAACTTATTGAAAATAATATTCTAACAACGCTTTATATTCTTCAAAGATTTTTTAAAAATCAATCCTTACATCGGACCACATCGATCTCCACTGTGTAATTAATTCTTCATCATCCGCGATCAATTATTGAGAATTAACCCTCTTACGAGAGCGCAGCACCAAGTTTCCAAGCATTACGTTGAATTTATAATAATACTGCCAGCGTATTCCGCGAATTTATAAGTAGACAATAGTTCCTCCGCGACAGAGGGAAATCCAAGTCGGTGCACTTCGGTGCAATAAAAGCGCAACTTGCAGCCGGAGGTCCTCGAAGGGGATTTAACTCCGAAAGAAAAAGAGTTTGAAGCTCGCAATGCGTGCATTCATACGGTCTAATGCCAGTAAAAATACTTATCCCCGTAATAAATATTTTTGCCTCTCGAACGTGAGCTTTCGGTACACGCTCGATTATTCCTGTGGCCATTGGGGAAGAATCCAGATGGTTGCTCGTAGCAGAAAGAAAAATAACCAATGGAATCGCATCTCGTTTCGAGGGAAATTATCTTGTTCGATTAGAGAATTTATTAGCGGATGATTAGTACTATGAATGCAGGTTTTGTCACGGTGACACTTTCTTTGGTTTATCTTTTGGTTTATATTTTTTATTGGTTTTGGTAGAGGTTATCGTTAGGAAAATCGTGATTCATTGGTCTATCAAAGTAAGAATTGGAGATTAGGGAATTAAGAGCTTCAGTTAAAATTCCTCATTCTAAATGTTAATCACCTTAACGTAAGACGTGTTATTTCAACTCTTCTACAAATTTTTTATTTTTATTTATATCGCGAGTATTTTAACGAGACGTCGCTGTTGCTCCTTACCTCGCGACGATTCAGAATGACGGTTTGAACGCATCCAACGAAGCTGGCTGTCGTTTTCATCTTGGGCGAGTACATGTCCGTGGACGGTGCACCGCCCAAGTAAAGATTGAGCGGTAGAGACAGTTGCGTGAAAGCTCCTGGTGCCAGGATTTCCTGGGGAGGATCGTCCTCCACCTCCAGGGACGCCAGACGTCCGGTTCTCGAGACTCGCACCTCGACCCAATCGCCAATACGTACTGGTTTCTCGCTTCTGCAACATCGATCAATAATGTCACCCTTCGACTGCATGAATTTCAGTTCGATCACAGAAGCAACATCGTATAGACGATTTTGTTGACGAATTTTCAAGTTTGAAAATCCTTCCAAGTACAATTCAATACATAATAAGAATCGTACTTTTGATTGCGTATCTCGAAACCTGCTAAACTACATAAACAAATGAGTAAATATAATTGAAGTAATTAAGTTTCACATGTAAAGTGCAATTACAATTTAATTCCGTTACATTTATTCAACGTCTGCATTTCGAAATCTTCCAATAGTAATTTACATTTACATGAAATGTACCACTGAAAACAAGTGAATAATTAAACTCCGCGTCTAAATAATTATATTTCAATTCATACGCGTTTATTGCGTCTCGCGTAACTTAAACACGAGGGAAATACGGTTTTTAAGCTAAAGAAAAAAAATTCAGGGGCGTCGAGGTTACGGTTGAAGATGAAACGTGACGTTCCCAGTCAGCCAGTAATGAAACCTCGCGGGCGAGGGTTGTGGGAAATCTGTAGCGGGTAAAAAACCAACCAGAATGGAGTCCCATCGCCGTGATTCCGGTCAAACGTCGTGAATGCGAATGAAGTTTGCTCATGGATAATATTTCGCTGAGGCAGCCACGTTTGGGGGATCGCGTAGGGGTGAGAGAGTCGTCTATCGAACGGTCCTCAGGCTCGACGCAGGGAAAACTTTCCCTTGAAAGAGAATCAAACGTTACTGCGGACTCCTAACGGCAGGAGAAATCGTGGATTCTTAGTTTTCCGTTAGGGGAGTTACCGATAGCCGCGGAGCACAATATATAACAGAATTAGGGAGTTTCAGAAAAAAGAAAACACGAACAAAGAATTCAAAGATATATACAATTCGACTTTAATGTCGTTTTTGCATTTATGTAAAATGCAGATGTAGATGATTTAGCTTAGATTTCGAGCGAGCTGGCGTAAGTAATGAACGCGTATTTATCCAAGAAGAAACTTGGTACACAGAAGGTAGCGGAAGATGAGGATAATTCTGACAGGGAAATCCAGAAACCCTTCCAGGAGGTAAGGAAGGGTGCTTAACAATTGACAATATAAATACTGCGGTGTAATGGACCAGGATTGGAATTCATGATTGTGGGAGAGAGTATACAGACAGTGAGGGAAATGGTGCTTCAGGATAATGTTAACTTCAGCCCTGTTGTTAAGGGACGAAGCGCGAAGGAATGGAGAAGAGCGTTAAAAATGGTGTCTGTCAGAAAACGTTGAATCCTAAGAATATTTAATGGGGATAGAGTAAGGAGCGAACGTTTTTATCCTTAATTCTCTTACACAAACCAGAGGAAGGGAACTATTTCATTTTTTTCCATAAATTCTTTGTTACAACACGGTTTCAAAATTTGACCGTTTCGAAAATAGGTCGAGTTTATTTTATCGCAATTATAGTCTACGGTTATATGCGGCCATAACGCAGTGGCCCTTGTAGTTTACTTGCTCGCCACGCGCTGAGTTCTTTCTCTGTACCCTCAGGGGCTATAGCTATAATATATTTGATTATAGCTACAATACGGGTTTAGCAATCCCGAGGTACCCGAGCTATAGGAGTGCTAGTGGGTCCCAACAGACCACTTGCACCCCTAATTGGGAGAATTATGAAGACAGGTGTCTGAGCAAATGCAAATACAAAGTAATGCAGAAGCAAGTATTAAATAAATGTAGAGGACGAATTGCAAGACTGGCACATAAACCTGGTAAAACATACTAGGTTCCCAATAAAATAAAGAACTCCCTGAAACATAATTATCTTCAACGTGAATATAAAATTTTATTTAATCGACCAGTCGGGATCAAAATTTAAAAAAAAAAATACACGTGTTCGAATTGACTCTAAACACACGTCATTAAATGTGTACAACGCGTACGAATCTAATTTCCAATCGCAATATAATTTCCCCGGTATCGATCAGGCTGTAATTAAATTACCGTTTACTACAACGCGAGGGGTTGTCGCATTTCCCGTTATAACTTTACCGCGTGGACACGGTACGGTCGAAAAATATTTCACTTTAATTAATCTCGATCAACTCGACGTCGGGAGTATGTTTTCGCTTTAGAGAAAATCAAACATCGTTCTGTTTTACATACGAAGGCAAACCGGACCGATGTTTGCGCTGGCTTTATGAACCTCTTCGATAAACACCCTTTTTATGCAGACGGATCTTTCCGGGTGGGTTGCGCTTTGACGAAATAATATAATTAATAAGTAATACATGCACAATAGTTTATGTTTTATGTTATTACATTACTGAATCGTGCACGATTCATTTTGCTCCATTACTGTTACAACATGAATATCTATGAAATTAGATTGTCTATTTATATAAACACGACCACATCAAATCATTGAGTGCAATTCGCGAAAGAAACTTTCGGGACAACCTAATACAATCAAAATAACCAAAAGACTGAATTCTGATTTATATCTTCCTTAATTTCTACAACAGTGTAATTTTATCCAAAAATAACGGGTTGACGAAACCAAAAGAAAAAGCTCATCAGGCTCTCCATGAGATCATTCTCACCCGTTCCTCGGCCTATGCGCGGATTTTCCACGAACAAAGGATGTAATCCTAATGAAACGACGAAAAATGAAGCGACCCGATGGAGCTCCCAGGATCCAATCCCCTGGGATCCTGTGCCTTGGAGGATGCGCGTACTGATTTTCCGTCATGAATATTCAGAGGCTTAATTCGCGATGAGGCCGATCGACGTCGATACATCGTTACCAGCGGATAGCACGGATTAAACGATACGGCGCGTTCTTTCGACACCGGGCGTCGTGCTTCGTTAATCGATCGCATCGCGCATAAACTCGTTATGCCGCGTTACAAGCGACGCAATCAATGCGATCTTGTCCGCGCCGCGGGTGTACAGACAGAACTCCATGAACGTCGTTTCCACCCTTTTCTCGCTTCATTTTCACCTGGCTCTACTTTATCTGATTTGCATGGAAGCTTAAAGTTGGGTATGATAATTTACGAAGGGCGTTCTTTGGTAATTTATTCAATTTATACGTCAATTATTTGATTTTCGTTCGGCGAACAGCTGAGGAGTTAATTTCATTGTTGAGAGTATTGTTTAGGATTGTCGCCTAGCCTCGCGGACGCGTTAAAGCCGAATCCGGGAACTTTCGTCAAGCGAAAATACACTTCCTTCTCCGTCTAATCAGACGCGAACGAGAGCGGGGGCTCCTACGTTTCTCTTTTATACTCCAGTTATCGTGTGCACGTACCCAATGAAATTACAATATCCGTTCGTCGACGCGCAAACGATTCAATTAAAGTCTAGGACCTGGTCGAAAGGAGTAGCGAAGAAATTGAAAGGAACGGGTCGGGCCGTGGACGTTCCTGGATGTCGAACGAGGTTCGAGTATCGAGACTCGATCGCTTAGGGGATGGGAGTGATGTCGTGGAAGGTTAGGAACGCGGGGGAGGTTAAGGGAATCGACTCACCTCAAAGTGGCGGGTCCCGTTCCCAGATCGAAGGTGAATTGAACGTGTCCGGAGGAGAGGTACAACGCGATGAAGTCTCCGGTAGCGTCGCTATGGTGGCCGTTGTAAAGTATAACGCCGTCCATGGCGGTCGGTTTCAACGTGACAGCCAATTCCAGCCAAGATAGCGACGTGTCGGCCAATCCCGCGTACCGAAGATAAGAGGATCCGTTGAACGACGGTACCTGCAAGCCAAAGAATCCATCGGGTATGGTTATCTTACGGATGAGCAGCATTTCCTTGGGAAAATTGTTCGTCGTCGATCCTTGCTTCCTTGGGCAGGACGCGTTATCCGCGATGAAAAACGATTGCACGTGACTGAGAAACGATTCAATGGTACGGGGAGCACTCGATTCTCATTTTGTTAAGTTGCGTTTAGGAGTTTTCTCAAATCAAAAATCACAGATTAACAACTCAAATACGTTACTCGTTACGTTAATATTTATACCACAGAGAAAATTTCCATTATTTAGAATCAATATTCCCCAACGTTGCTACAAAATTCTCCCAGAACAGTACATCGTCGGTCCCGATTATTGTTTATTACCATCTATTGTTGCAAACGATCGCTTCGTCGAGCCCTCACGGTGGTCTATGGAACATCGGACAAGGTAACCGCCATAAATCGGCCGATTTCTCATCGGCGACGGTGAAAAATCGCGGAGCCCAAGCTACCCCAAGATCTTCTTTCGAAGCTATCCGACGACATTATTTCTCGGCGCTCTGGTTGGCCTCTTATTTTTCCCACCGGTTATCTCGCGACGTCAATTTCCGAAATGACGTAGTTACCGAACAGGAAGACCGTTTCGCGAGCAAGCGGTTCCGCGTCGGAGATACAGGCACTAAATTAAACCTGGCGAGTTTCCGGAGATCGTGTGTGCCGCGCATTATATCATCGCATAAATTCCATCGGGGCTCGCTAACGTTTCGTTATACGAGAACATCGGCGCTGCGATAACGGATGGCACCTACCTGGGAGGTAAAACGAGGAGGAACAGGTGTAACGTGGATGGGGTGAGGATAAAATTCCGTTTTATGTACCGCGACGGAGGAGATACACTTCAATCTTGTGGCGCGGCGAAGTTAAGGATCGAGGTTCGTCGTTAGGCGAATTTTTCTCTGTAGCTTCGAGCTTTGAATTTTGCTGGGTAGATACGATAGCTATCGGGAATCACATGCTTGGCGATTTAGAAAATATTAGGTGGTTCGTTGCTGTTCGTAAGAAAATAAATTAACGTATTATTTGGTTGTTGAGGTTGAGTGCAATTTCCTCGAGGATGTTTGAAATTAATTACCTCAAAGGGCTAAACAGCAAAGGGGCCTATGAAAAAGTGCAAGAACGGAAAATAAGGGAGGATCGTAAGACGCGGAAAAGAGCGCGTGAGGAAATTCAAAAGATCTTAGGGTGATAAGGGTGTCTGAAAGGAAAAGAATAAAACGAAAATGACGGGCGAAGGGGGACCGCGATTATTGCGAGGAAAATATCAATTTTAAGCGTTCCCCCATTAGGTATTAAAATTACTTTCCCAAGTGTCCCGGAAGTAATATCGGCCGACAAGCCGATACCAATTTTATCAGACGCGTTTCCGCGCGTCCACGACGGGCTTTAATGCATCCGCCATTGTTATAATCGATATCAGCGTATATATAGCGGCGCATAATCTGCCATATATTTCGACGCACACGTGCGTGCACACGTGAAGTGGCGTCTGCGAATGAGAGGACAAATTGATCGGTATTATGCCTTCGTGCACGTTGAAACGTTTTAAAATCGCCAAGAAGGAGGAAATATTCCCTTTGTACTCGGGAGACGCGAAAAATCGCGGCACGCGTTTCACCTCGTACAGTGAGCGCGAAAAGTATCCAGGGGGAATGTTCAGGCTCGTTTCCGAATCAATTTTAATAGGATAAATCATTTTTTTGCGTATAGTTTCTCGTTTCAGAAATTTGATAAATTTAATTAATTTAGAAATGTCTAGAATAAAGAATTATAAATGGCGAGGAAGAAAGGAGGAGGTTACGAAACAAATTTATTCATGAAAATGACTTAAATGTTTTTAATTCATTAGTAAGAAAAATGCTTCAATGAATTCAATTGTACAATTATAATGTAAAGTTTATATTTCAATTGGGGATCAAAGAAAATTGGAGAGAGAAAATTGGAAAATTTCAACTGCAGAGTTACGAAACAAAATTAATATTCGCCCGTTTTTGTTAATCCTCCATTTCACTTCTAGTCTCTCTATCCGAAATCAAAATTTCGAGCTTAAATTAGATCTCTACTGAACGGAGCTACGCGAAGCTTCGCCTGAAAATACTTTTCGCAGTCACTGTATGAAATCATCCGAAGCGACGACTGGAGCAAGATCGTCGATTGTTATCCAACGTTTCAAGAACTCAATACGGCGCGCGGTGGTATAATTAAGCACGGTACTCGATGATTCGTTTGCTACGAACACGATTCCCACAGACTCTTTAAACGGTTCTCGTAACGTGCAATCGCATTCGGATACTTTGAACTACGGCAACTGCACGATTTAGCAGAAACGAGCGAATGCTTTCGTGTTTACCAACTGCTTCAATTCAAACGATCAAATCTATTCTGATAAAAGTAGAACACTCTGAATTTAGAACGCTAAGAAGTGATAACATTCGTATGACGAGAGAATAGAATCTGTATTAGTGTTATAATTACAACGTACAGAATATAATTGCAGTCAAGTTTTGAAGCACTTAATGATTTTTTACTGGATCACTTCAGACTAGAATACCCCGTTAACGAATAAACACCGTATATTTAACATCGCGCTACGAGCAGTGAAAACATATTTACCAGTCGTACGAGAAATCAGCTCGAATTTGTCTGCACTCCAAGCAAAATAAAGCATCCCTAAAGAAAGTCTCTCGCAACAGCCTCTACCGGTTCGCTATTTTGTTTCGCCCGGTTCGTACGGTTTCACGGAAATTTCCGGGAGGGAATACTGATCAATCGTTGCCGTTGAGCAAAGGGCTTCTATTACTCATCCTGGATAACCGTATTTCCCGTCGAAACGGAACTTCCTTTAAGCTCGTTCGACAAACAGCCACGAAGGACCATGGAGCTAACAAGTGTCACTTGAAACTCAAACTCGTTCTCCAACTCCGAGGGTGCAGGTCCGTCGCCCCTTTAATTCCATATAATGCACGCCGCCGACAATTCGATCGAGTTTTCCGAAAGCTTTATCGGCGGCGACTTCAAAAGCCCGTTTCACGTCGTTGCGAACCCTCTCGCTCGCGTTCGCGATAAAGGATCGAATGGAAATAGTCGGTCGACCGTCGGGTCTCGCGTTTAGCCGTGATTTAATTCATCGACGTCGCTTCGAATTTCATTTCGAGTCGCGGAACGCAACGACTGATACACGATACGGACATGCGACTGGAAAAAAAAAAATAGTGGACGACCGATAAAAACATCCCGGGCGAAATAAACTGGCTTCTCGTTTTCACGGGATTCTCAATTCTTGTCAGATCTCTCACTCGGCAAGCGAGTTCAAATAAAAAGATGGTGATTATCGAGTTGCTTATTTCGAGACAATCCTGTATTCCACGTGGGTGAAACCGCGGGGCATAGCTAGTTGAAACGTAAAATCGTGAAACCTCCTCCAGAAAATCCTTTGCAACCAACGAAAGCGCACTTTCATCGTCACGTACCGACGTGTAGAAACTTCCCATTACCAATTTGACAGATATTGTCACCGAGCTTGTTCGTCTCTCTTTATTATCGCGACAAGGCAGCGAGGAGATTGCACGGGGACTGTTTTTCGCACCGAGCGAACTCGATAAGCAAAGTGGCGGATCTTTACCGCGGGCGAGTACGTCGTCGCCGCGAGAAAATGGTTTCTCCCTCGTGGGATCTATCCTGCAGCTGGTCTTTCGTATAATACAGGGTCACTTTCCTCCGCGGACCCGTGGGAGCGGGTTATCGCCAAGGACGTAGCTTTTACTCGCGCAGAAAGAAAAGCGGGTCAGCGGTGCGTCGGGAGGACGTAAACGATGCCCCAGGTTTCGCCCCGCACCTCATAACATTTTTCAAAGGGACCATCCACGCTCTCGCGCACCGAATTAAATCGTTCTTCTCGAGACTCAGACGAGATTCACGATTGCGAATCTCTGCACATTCTCCTATGAATAAAGAAAAATCTCACCCAAGCCACCCTTCGATAAAACAAAAAATATCCAATCAAACCACATCGAAAGTGCCATCCATGCACCAATTTTCATTTTGATTCAGTTGTTCCTACCCCATTAAAAAAGAAAATAGCGAGCATCCCCAAAATGCAGCGCAGCCTTAAGTCGGACTTCCCTGCGGGCGCGCCTCAAGGTTCGCGGTAATTGAGCAAACAGACGGACAGAATTGGATTTTATTTATTTAGGTTTACCTGTAAATCCACCCTGGTCTCGCACAGGTCGCCGGTGTATCCGAGGGGACAGAGGCACACGGCTGTGTCGCCGCCAGTAGTCAAGCATTTCCCGCCGTGGGAACAGGGCACCTTGCTGCATCTGTCCGCGGTGCATTCCTCTGCAACGACAACAATAAATACATCGGATCGATTCTCTCCTCTATGGCTCGGTATCGCTAGAATCTCGTTTCGCGACGCCGCGAAATCCTTTCTCAAATAAACACCGAGCAAAAAAGCGTCGACTGCATACGGTTTGCCAGAGAAACTCGTCCTCGAGAAATATCGCTCGATTCTTCAGCTTCTGGTATACGCGTCGATACTATCTGAGCAAATATTTGACGAAAATACGAAAGCTTTAAACACCCCCAACCCCTCTCCGCTCCTCCCCGATGCTGGGAACGGAGATGTCGTCGGAATTATCATTCAATGTGCTCGCTCGACTTTATCGGGGAATTTCTGAGAACTGGGAAGTGGTTTATTTCCTTGTCGTAGCCGGAGTTGTACGCAGGCTTTAATCTTCGATGCTTTAAGCTTCTGCTTTTTTTATTTGTCACGTTTGGTGTTCGTTCTTCTTGCATTCCTAATTTCTTTAAATGTTTGTAGGCTAGGAAGTGCGTTGTAACATTTCTCGAAGTCCATACGCGCTTCGCAGTCGAAGTGTTAAGCACTACATATAGAATTCGCATGTTATTTTAGTTTAGGAAATACGATTGTAGGGTTGGTCGCGTCGCAGGTCGACAAACTCTGGAGGCAATCGTTACGAGATTGTGCCCAGGGGGTCATGACCCAACCAACAAGTAGTTTAGTTTCATCGCGGAGAGGTGGCAGACCTTTCCTCTGTTCTTCGGGAAATTTATTTAACGACACTTGTACGCCTCGATAATTTCGTAACGGGTCGAGAATTTTCGAGGACGGTGTTTACTGGCCGTTGAATTCGCGAAAAACGTGAATTCACGAGGAAACTTCTAGGGAAGCATCGATCGCGTTGCTCGAAGAAAATCTAATTAGACTTCGTCGCTGGAGGAGGTAGAAGTACGTGTAAACAGAGATATTCGAGAAAATAAATCCGTTTGTGCAAACAGAATCTCGCGAAAGGGACGTCCTCGTTACGGAAGGGAAGCTTCCGATTTGGTCCAGTTTCTCGAAATTATTCGTTTGAAATAAATTCAGGTAAAATCGTGTTTTCGATCGTTTAATTAACGCGATTGGATTTCAATGTTGCATATGTATATTTTTACATATGTTTGTGTTTATGTGAACGTACATATAAACGTATAAATTTATAAGTAACATTTATATTGATACATTTCAAAATATATGACCATATGAAATATATCAAAATATATGTTATTTGTAAATTTGTACGTTTATATAAAAATATAAAAACGTAAACATTACTGCCAATTTATATATCCACAATATACTCTCCAATTCTGTCATCTACAGGTATCTCATAAGTTCAAAAAAAGAACATGAACCTCGACATAGGAAATCGAAGTTGGGTCTTAAAACGTAGCCAGACTTTTTCCAAGGAATTTACGAAGCCTCACGAAAGAGTCCTCCTCGTTTATTTAAAACTTAACGTGTATCTCAAGTACCTTGAGCAATAAAATATCGCGTCAGGTTAGACAGCAGCGCCTGGAAGGACTGCTCCTCCTTCGTCTATGCATTACTAATGCATAGAGAATCTCGATTTAAAAAGAAGAGAGTGTGAGGAGGAGAGAGAAGTAACGTCTGGTAAATTGAGAAACTTCGATCAGGTGATTTCGGCTGGTTTCGAGTTCGTCGACCCCCGTCGAATCGAGTAACCTCGATTCCACCACGGCATAGGGAACTTTAAAAATCGTCTGGGTCATTCATTATTACGAAGTCCATACGAGTCACGTTCCCTCCGCTTCCTTTTACTACCGCCCCGTTTCCTTCGTTGGAATTGTGTTTTATCCACCGAAAGTAATCCGATTAACCCCGTCGCGAAATACTAAATATAGGGAAATTTATTCCGTGGAAACCATCTTTCTCATGAGAACGACCTTCTGTGATTGGGGATACCGAATATTAATATTTCGAGGTAATAATGATTTCTATATTTCGTGCGGTCGCGGGAAACAATAGCCAAGCATGAATGCAACGGGAGAACATTTTTGTTCGAATCCAATATCGATCGCGAAAGGGGAATAATAATAGACGTTTCGGTTGGTTTGGGCAAACTTTTTATTCGAAAGTTTTTTCTATATATTAATCAAAATATCGCGGTATATCTAAGCTAGGGAAGTGTTCTACGTTACCATGTCTCGCTCACTTTCATTTAAATTTCAAATTCTCTTTCTGTACCCTTGAAAGTGTTAATTTGCATAAACAAATCTAGAGGTTAGCAATCACTTTCTACGATTTTTTCTCATCTTTCTAGCAAATTTCCAGCAACATCCTTGCTATAAGATTCTATCAACTAATTACCCAAGAAAAAAGCGAAATATCATACAAAATCGTACGAAAAGCGAGAGAAGATTGTAAGAAACGTCGCTGCAGACGCTCTCAAGAATTCCTAGAGCAGAGATTAAGACCTCCCCTACGTTAGGATCGGAAAAATTCAAAGGCTGATCGAAAGGAAGGTCTCCGGCCAAAAATTCCTTTCGTCTTTCGCACCCATTGATTAACGTAACGCTAGTTGACGCGACGTCGCATCCGTGGGAATGCGTTAAATTAAATTCTGAGCCGAAGTGCGCTTCGCGTCGGGTAATTAGTTCACGATCAAAGTCAGGACAAGAGCGCGGCGTGGCTAATCGCGCGCGAGTCGATGCCGCCACTGCATCAAGGGCTCGGCGTTAATTATCAAGCGTTAATCAATTATCGAGGCGACGTCATCGTTTCTCGAGCATCGAAATTCCTTTTCGACAAACAACCTGTATGGCCCTGTCATCGGTATTCTAATGTCAGCTACATAGTACGATACGAAAAAAATTCATTTATAAGTGAAATCACAATCGAAAGAGACATTCAGGTGGCCTGGTTTAGGCGTGACATTCTGTGTAATCATCTTGACTTCACGATTCTCTAATAATATTTCCACTAGGCACAGTCGTCGTTCCTCGAGTAGTTAATTAAGAACCAACTAAAGTTAAACAAGTATCACTTTGTGTTTCGCTGAAAGTAACAAGCCCCGCGGATAATATCGTATCTAATTTCACGAGTTTTGAAGAGACGGAAAGCTGGCAATCCAGATGGAAATAAATTCTTGAGAGCGCAGAATCGCTCGGCGTCCATAACGCGAAACGTAAAAGTGTAATAGGCTATTTCGCCGCGGTGATTCGCAATTCCACTCGACGATAATGACGACGACGAAACACCGCGATCCATAATTAGGCGTTTTGCAGTTAAATTTTGTTTCGGACGAAGCTGCGCCGGTATCGGTCGCGCGAGTTAACCCCTATATCACGGAAGACAACAGGTGTCGCATGAATTTCCCTGGAAAACCCTTCTATATATATATTATTTGACACGAAATTTTAAGAAATAGGAAGGTAATCAAATATTAAATTTCAATAGTAGGAAAAGAGTTAAATATTAAATTTTAATAATAAAAATGAAGTTTCCGAAAATTTATTTACTTTCGTACGCTTTAAAAATAACTGATATTCCACAAAAATAATTTCTTTCAAATTACAAAAGCTCGCTCGCAACTTCATCATTTAATTTCTCGCTTAAATAAAAATCGAGACAAAATTAGTCCCGTTCGAGGCAGCGTGAAACAATAGCAACAGTGAATTACGGAGGATAAATCACTTTACTCCGGCAATTGACATTATTCTTCGGGGTCGAGTCTCGTCCGTAAACGTCGAGAGGTAAAAACGCACGCAATGAATGCGCAACTTGAAAGCGAAGGGAATAAAAGATACTCTGAAAAGGAATCGCGTCGTTCGCTCGGTGTATACATATGTAGAGCATGCAAATTATACTGGCAACAAAGAAACACAATGGAGGAACGGCATGCAGCGGGTTTTTTTATTAGGTATCGGTTTCAACGTACGTCAATGTATTCCGACTAATTGGCTCTTCTGAACCAGGATCTGATTTAGCAAACTCGATGGGAAACAAACCAGGCAAGAATTGAATCGAGAAATCACCGATAAACGTAGCACCACCACACGAACAACGCTTAACTATCTGTACACAGTATAAATTTGCTTATTAAGATTTCACTTTTAATTGATTGGAAATGAATACAAACAAACTCAATTTATTATATGAAATTTGACCAGCAGTAGCTACTAATTGTAAGTCATTCCGCAGTTTCGTGCTGCAGATTCTGTTTAAACGATTTAACAGAATTCTGATTTAAATTTCTGTTTAATACAGTACTACTACAAAAGACGTACAGAAAAAGAATTGAAACTCAAACGAAAATAGGTGAGAGTTGGTAATGTAGAACGCTCTGCTGATAAGACATATTGCTCTGCTGGCAATATAGAACTCTCTGCTGGCAATGTAGAGCGCTTTGTTGGTAAAAATCGCGACCTCCACGATTAATCGACCCAGTTTTCGGTAAACTTCGTTAAATCTCAACGAGGAGTTTGTAAGAGGAAAAACAACCCGAACAACTTATTTTCGCATCACGAACACTTTCTCGAGTATCCGTGAAACGGAGTCGCGACGAGTGGAGAAGATCCACGGACGATTTACTCTGATATCGTCCCTCGCGGTTTCCTCTTTGTCCTGGCATCGTCTTCGACGTCGCCATGCGGTTTTCCTTTTGAGGCTGGCCCAGCCGTAGACCAAAAAATGCATCGTACACGGGAATGCGCCCCTTTGATGTATTATACACTGCCTCCGAGAATGGAGTTGCACGTGGCGGAGTGGTCGGACGTCTATCGTCCGGGGAGAATGCCCTTAAAAGCTGTCTACTCGGAGAGGTTACGCTTGGAAGGATTATAGGTATCTCCTCCTTGAACCTTTCAATGGATGATTCGACAGTCGGTTGACCGGTTTCGGGAGGTTCTTGGTACTGCGTGATAAGGTAACGCGCCAAACCTTCGTCGTTGGAACGCTTCTAACCTTTGCTTTGTGCCAGAATTAGGCGTGGAAAATCTCTGACACGATTTCGATAAGCCGGGGGAATTATATTCCTGACCCCATTATGGAGAAAAATGTGTACGCGACACTTTGACAGGTTCGCTATTTAAATGTATGTCTCTAAAGTTTCGTTTTTAAATTTGATAATATTTGATAAGGTATGTGTTGACATTTTAAAATGAGCAACAAATTCGTGGAGTATTTATTGTAGCTAAGAGTATATTCCAGAGGATATTTATTTAGAAATATATTCCTATGGATTATTTGCATTTGAGATTGCCAGACTGTATAGGGACTGTATAGTCCCAAGTGTATAGAATCTTCAATTTATATTTGGCTGGATATCGATAAGAAATTCATCAATATATTTCAAACTCAATCACATTAGGTAAAGTAATTCCGCCTGGCTCGCGCAGCTATTCGCTTGATTGACTTTTATATCGTGTGTAATCTTTTATTCGCTACGCTACTCGAACCGGAGATTACGTTCATGAATATTCCAAGAGTGAATTAAATACCGAAGACGAAATAATTAATGATTTTTGGATATCGAACTTTGCGCAAACTTGCTCGCTGGAGCACCAGATCGATCTGATTTCTGGTTTGGAAGAAAATTATACTCACCAACGTCGAAACCATTCGCAGCATCCCCCTGCGGTGCAAGGGGGAAGCGATAGCGGTGTTCATTGGCTTCCAGATGCCGGACGCAACCCTTAAATCCGGTCCGCACCGGAAGTCGCTCCAGGCCGGTTGTGTTTCCGGGGCCGCCGACGAAGAGCGGTTCGCGGAAGGTAATCCTCGCAAACAAGCCCTGTAATCAAATCCAGAATTGTCCGGTTTACGTAGTTGCATAAAGTCGTTGTATAATTCGCGCTATTCTGCAACCGCTTTATGATTTATTCAATTCTTGGTTGTTTTCTCGCCCACTCTACATTTTCATTCTTCGAACGCAATGCACTTTTTATCGTACGATAGAAAATGTGGTAATTGTGGCTGGAAAATTTGGAAATTAGAAATTTTAATTGCGCAATTGGAGTAATTAAAAATTTGGGAACCTAGAGTTGGGGAAACCCTGTGAACTGACCTCGATCTATGATCGCGTTCTTGTTATTAGTATATGTATTGTGCACGAAATATTGAAGAGATTTGTCTGCGTAAATGAATTATTATTATAATTTATACAATGGATTTGAAGTAGAGATTATTCGCGAGCACGGCCACGAAATTAAACAAGTTTAATCAGGGGAGTAAACGGGGGCCGAATTGTTGCATCAAAACGCGTCGCATACCTCGCGTTCAAATTCAAAGAATAATACTACGCGAACTTCTTTCTATGTATAAATTCTTTGGAATCTCCTTCGCCATTTTCGTCGTCAAGATAATTAAACTTTGCTTTTCAATTTACCTCGTTTCACAGAATTTCAAGAACACCTTTCGCTGCTATTAAATACTCCCGTAACTTTTCATCAACGTGTGCCACTTCATTAATGAAAACACGCGTCTAATTCAGAGCGGTGGATATCGCGTAAACCGCAGATACCATACTTGCCCGATGTCGGGAAAATTATTTACAGACCAAGCAATTACGGAAGGAATTTCTGGGCGTTGCGCGAGACGCGTCTGGAACATTGACGGAGTAGAATATTCAATTTTGTAATAACTCGACGGGTTGCGCAGTTAAACGTTCCTCGTTATACTCACCTCTCGCGCAGATTATATCTCAGCAAATCGTGCATCACCGGTGTAATAAATTAAATTGATGCGGCGCGCTTTGCGCAGTTTCCTCGCGAACGAAATAATGGCGGAACCACGTCGAGATTTCGAATGCGTGTGTTCAGTATGTGGTTAGAAACTTTAACAGTTGCTTAAATATTTTAGCGAAGTCGGAACTTTCAGATTTTGTAATCATTGGTAGTTGGATGAAAGATACGCTTTCAATTGAGATTTCAATTAACACGCGCGCGTATATTATAGTGCTGTATCTATGAATTTAGTGGGAGGGGGGACAAATCGATTATATCGAATGTAATTAGTTCCCTGGTTCGATAATTGATGTGGTCTTGTAGGCGAAGACCTCGAGATATTATTAAATAAGTTTTATAGTATTTTCAACTATTTGTTACGTGTGAAAGGAAAATTGTAGATAAAGTCTGAGGAAATGGGCAATATAAATATAACGTCGTGTAAGAACGAGACTGTAGGAGATGCAGTAAGGACATTAGTACTCCGGGACAGGAAAGTAGATAAGAAACGTAAGTTGGAAAGTTGCAGAAAAGAAACGCGAAGGAGATGAAGAAAAATTCAGGGGAAAGAAGATTCTTACGTTGTGGATTCGGAATTGTGTTGTCCAAGACCATTTAAAAAAATAAACACCATCCGCTACGTAAGAACCATGCCCTTACTGAATTTGCAGTTGCACTTGGATTAACTGCAATTGAAATCTGTTCTTTTAAAATGCAACCGAAATTACCTATAGTTGATTACCCGACTGGTCGATGAATTCATTCAAAATATAATTGATCAATAGTTCTCGATAGGACACAAGAACAGAAAATCTCTATCAAATGCCAAATTCCCGTCCAATGAATCTATCCATTCAACCTATCCGTCACTTCAATGCTGACAAATCCACTTAGCATGAATTTTCGACACTTCCCCGTGGATATTTCGCGCGAATAGCATCGTCCAGCAACGCAGCTTCTCGAGAGCGTCGCGCAGACGTCGAGATGCAGTCGGAGATGGCAGCAATTTACGCGGATTATGCATATCCGAGATGACCCATATTTGCCCAGGTGACACGTCTAAGCGCGTCCGCTGACGGGCGAGTTTCTTGTATCCGAGCACGGTTGCGTTCTCGCGTACACGTATCAAACACGCGAGTGTCGGGCGGCGTACACGTATAGCGGAATTCTGTCGACGACACTCCGACAGGTTTCCAAGTTAATGCACTTACAAAAGTCTCGAAACTTTCTTCGGGGTGTATCGACCCTGGACTCGTCTCAAAATCATGCTCCTCCTCCGCAGCGGCGCGCTGAAAGGTCTTCCACCTCGGAGAAACTTACGGCAAGACCTTTCGACTGCCATGATCGAGACAGAAAATAATTTTGATCGGGAATCTCGGAGATGGGAGTTATCGAGCTTCCTCGAGGATTTCTCGACTTCTTGGAGACTCTCGTTCAATCATGGCCACAGACATTGCCTCAGATTTCATGGACATGGACTCCTTTTTCCAAGGGTGCAATGTGAAATTAGTTTAATATAGTGGCGAATATTTTATGTTGTTTAGGTTTGATTGTAAACGGAATGTTTTGAAGTATTTTTAGATTCGAGTGATAGTTTAATTTTTGTTTCATATAGAATTGAGAGTGCAACACAAAAATAATAAATGTAGGAGATTCTGTTAGATTTCGAGTCAAGGAATAATTTAAAACGAATTTAATATGGTAGTGAATATTTTCAGTTTGGTCGTAAATGAAACGTTTTTAAGTACTTCGAGCTTCAAGTTTAATCAGTGGTTTTCAAAATAGAGTAAATAACTGAGGAACACCTGTTAATTCATTACTAACGAAAATATAATAATTGCAGGGGTAAACGATAGCTCGAAAACTGCGCGAGTATAGAAGAACGCTTGAAAATACTGTTTGAAAAGGTGTCGCAAAGGGGAACACATTCGTGGATAACAATCGAACTTTTATTAATTTTTTCCCAATTAATATTTCCACTCGAACGGCCCTCGAAAAACACTTGCGCGTGTTTCGTTGATTAAAAGTATTGAAAATAATTTCGCTGTCACTTGAGCGCGCAAAGTGTCGAGTCCAGTGAACTAAAAGATCATAATAAACGAAAATAAAATCGCAAAGCGAGTTTTCGAGCGTATCCTTCAATTTAATCTCTTTTAGTCGAGCACGCATCGGTGGATTCGTTCCTCTTCGCGAGCGTAAAGAGAACTTTGCTCGAATTACATTCGAAGTGTCGCGTAAATGCCGACTTTTTCCTTCCAATTAAAAGAAATAAGAGCTGAATCATGGTCGATCGAGAGGAACACGTTCGTCGTTGAATGGGAAGATCCAGGATTCTCGTTCGAGATCTCTCGAGAAACGATGACGACAAGTTGTAATTGACTTTCGAGTTTTAATTTCACTCTGCTAGGACCGTGTTCGCTACCAAGTTCGCGTTAATGATTTTAGAACTGAACGGGAGATTGTTTTATTCGACAACTAAAATTCTCGCGGCTGGAGGAAAAAGAACTGAACGCGTTAACGATATCGAGATAACCTAGATATTTTTTTGTTCGAGGAAGGCAGCTAATTGCATCGACTTTCTTTACTTTTTTGGTAAAAAAGATCATCAAGGTTTTAGGAAAGTTTTCTTTTGGAAATTAGTGGAACGAAGTTTTCATTTGACGGTGATTAATGTTGTAGTATTAAATGTTACTGGTGAAATATATGGAATTAAAAATCAATGATAATTAATTATATGCATATTTTATTTTTCGCTGTGTTCTTTGGAGCATTCTAAACCACGTTAACATTGATTTATTCAAATCACTGTCAATAATAAGAAGTCATGTTCCAGCTCATTCTTTCTATGAAGAACATTGATGTCCCAGAAAGTTTAACGGGGGCTCATTAAAACCACAAATAGACAGAAAAGCAACAAACGAGTGTTCCCCTAAAATAACATTTTGTTTTCGTCTAATTTCAGGCTCGCCTCGATAACAAGCTTTCCCTACCAAAAGCGACAAAACGCGCAGAGGGAGTTGAACTCAGATGGCTGAACTTTCGAGGGCCTCATTCGTAATTACGGAAAGTTTAAACGACCGATGTCTCTGTTCCGTAGGCTAGGAAACTTCCGTGGAACTTTTACAGGCTCGTCGAGACGGACGAGGTAAATCTTTTGATCCAACGGGGATAGGGGTTGCGGGTAAGCCATTACGAAAATATCGCGATGAGACAGGGAAAAAGAGCGTAGCGCGAATCTTGCACATTGATGTCCCACGGAACCGAAGCAAGCACTATTAACACCGAGACGGGAGAAATATTTCAAATATTAGCATAAATGAGGTTCCCGATGGGCGGGCGGTCAAAAGATATGCTCTTTCAGAAATTCAAATTTAACGTCGTTCTCTTTGATGTTCGGTCCGTCGAAGGGTCAACCGTTCGCTGTTCCCTCCGAGAACTCATTTCCGAAATAAACGAATTCGCCGTTCTGTTAAAAGCTGATAACTAATCGAGACGTGGAATACGGAAAATGGAAGAACGTTTCTTTATCGCCGTAAGGTTCATTTCGAACGACATTTGGTTCAATTTTCGATTATCTGCTCGTAGAGGGTAGTTATTGGAAACTGATTTGGGGACCATTCAATATTTTTTGAACTGTTTGGTTAATGGAGTTAGTGAATTTTCCCTTTATTTGTCGATTTTTGGTTGATTGGCGGACCCTATTAGGTGGTCAATTTTTGTAACATAATTCTCAGTGGATTTTTCATTTATTCAAACAACCAGAGACCACGTATTCCGTCAGGCCTGCTTTCCGCCAACCCTGAAAATCGAAGTAAATTTTCGATGTCCACGACCCCTGCGTCGATCCCTCTTAACACCCTCCCTCCCCCGTCCCCCATGGGGCTAACTCCACGTGGCGTACAATTTATTTCTCTTTGCGCGATGGCTTCGGTCGTCCCATCCATTTTTCACGCGAAACTGCTGCCCGTCTATCTGGGCCATTCGCACCGAAACCTCATAGTAGAGGCTCGCGAGGGGTGGAACGGGGATAATCCGTCGTTTGTAGGCGACTTTATAAGGCGGCATGATA